CTTGAACTCATTTTGTAGCCCAGGCTGGCCTCGAATTTGCAGTGATCCTCCTGCCTCAGCCTCCAGAGTGCTGGGATTACAGGTGTGCACCACTGTGCCTGGTTTATGCTTTTGTGAATAAGAAGGGAAACAAGGATTGAAGGGAAAGGAGAGGAATTGGGGGGGAAAAAGAATTAAGGTATGTTTTGTACAGGTACAAATTCCCTATGTGAATGTGATAATTAGGTATGTCAAAAGAGCACCAATAGGATTAACTTAAAAAGTCAAATTAAACAAGAGCCTTTGTACAGTAGCCTCATCCCTTCTTCCCAGCTCACGTTCAGCTTTGTTGGGTATGTGTCTCGGGACAAATGAAACCTTCAAAATAGAAGCAAGTAAAGCTTCACAATGAAAATTAAATTAGCAACCACCGGTTACACATTCTTTTAGACAGTAACCTAAACTTGAGGCCAAAATTATCACAGAAAATACTAGAACCGGGGGCTGGGGATTTAGCTCAGCGGCATAAGTACCTGCCTTGCAAGCAAGTGGTCGTGAGTTCGATCCCCAGTACCGATAAAAATGAAAAAGACAAAAAAAAAAAAAAAAAAAAAAAAAAGAAAAGAAAAGAAAATACTAGAACCTAATAGAATAAAAACAGAGAGAGCCGGTATTGGAGAAGAAACTCCAGAAAGAGACATTTATGGGCCAGCTCTCAACCTAGAACTGTAGTCACCAAAGACTCCTAGCTCTGCCACGAAACTCTACACTTAAAACCCAAAAGACTTAAGTTTTCCTTTCCACACCCTGCGTGGGAAAGCACTAGGCTAGTCCTTTACCCTCCAGTTCTCTGCCTCTCTTCGATGGCCAGCACCAGGAAAAAAGCCAAAGGATTTTAGTATTCTGACAGATAAAAGCCTGGGGGAGAGTGGTTAGGGATAAGAAGGAAATAGAGGGTACCTTAAAAGGGTAGCTATTCAGTGTGGGCCCACAGACTCCACCAGGTCCTACAAACAAATCTGGATATTTCATAAGCTGACATTCAAATCCACACAATACAGGGAAATCCCTCCAGCGCCCAAACAGGATACAGTAGGTGGATCAGGCCCACACCTCCCGATCTCAAGTGGAATATCAAGGAAGCAGCCTGGTGATCCCTGTCCAAGCCATGGTGCCCGATCCCATTCACTGACCAGTTCTGGGGCCAAAGGCATTTACAAGCCAGTCTTTTCTCTGCTGCTCAGCTCACTCCCATCCCTGTAGAAATGTAGGAAATCACAGCCACTGGCAAGGAGTTTCCATGCCACAAGGACCAGCCACAAGGGATGTCGCACAACAAACACAAACCCAATGTTCAAGAGCCCTCTGGCCTCCTGTAAAAGCCAAGCCTTTTTGAATCATGGCCTGTCAACCCCTCCCCCATGAGTCTTCTCCGTGGCAGTAGCCAATCCAAATGGTGACCAGTTGTCCATCTTGTGCCTAAAAGAAATATCCATGGTCACTTATAAAAAGATAAAAGATATGACAATGTTGCCTAGAAGGGACTGGGAGGCTGCCTGCTGGTTAGTGTCTCGGTCTGCTGTCTGCTGTCTGACTTATCAAGAAATACCATGTTGGGGCTGGGGATTTAGCTCAGCGGCATAAGTGCCTGCCTTGCAAGCAGGCAGTCGTGAGTTCGATCCCAGGTACTGATAAAAAGGAAAAAGACAAAAAAAAAAAAAAAAAAAAGAAATACCATGTTGATGAATCTGAAAGATAGATTCCGAGGTTCTTGTGTACAGCAAGCAAAGAATAGCAAGTATATACCGAATAGTAAAAGAAAATGCAGGTACTTTTATTGAAGTTAATGGGCAGGTGTGCTCAGGGCAGGTTCGTGCCAACAGAAACAAAAAGGTAGCACAAACGGGAAAGTGGTGCTGAAATGGCAGGGGAATAGGAAAAGGTGACGATAAATCAGGTGTTTGGATTTGAAGAGATGTGCGACCTGCGGTAAGTGCCCCTCACTGGGTCTCCTGATATATGATTGACAGAAATGATTGACAGGTGCTGAGTCATCTCAGGGACATTTGGTACACATAACTCCCAGAATGCATTCTGCTTTAATCACATGCAGTGTGGTCCCTATGTATGAACCTTTAAATGAAGTTCAGATGATGAACTTGATATTAAATATTAAAGTCCTCTGTTGAAATTACTATGTGTCAGGCTATGGGATGTAACACAGGTGACTGTGCAGGTTGAAAAGGCACAATTCTATCAAGCCAGTTACTGCGGGATGGTGGGAGACCATCTGTACAGTGAGACCAGTGGATATCAGAAGCGTAAGCTATTGCCCCATGAATTTAGCTTTAATTCTGTGGTCAGAAGGAATGCTGCAATAAAATGCAGTGATGGTGGTGGTAAAGGTATTCTGTACCTCGTGGATGGTATTTTAGGCAAGTAGTTCATGCAGGAAAGACATACCCATATTCAGGGTAAGTGTCTATCCCAGGAAAGACAAAACACCGCACCTTATATGACAGAACTCAAGCAACCTGCCACCAGGCACCTGGCTGATGACCCGGGAGCTCTGTGCTTGTCTCTGTTGCTCGGATCAGCCTCAGTGAGTGGAAATGCGTGTTGTTGAGTCCTGATGCCAATCTTAATTCTAAAACACAGTCACATATACCATAATCCCAAATGTTGAAATCCTGAATGATCAAAATCTCTAATATCTAAAATCTCCAATCGCAAATCTCAAATCACAACCTCTAAAATCTCTAAATCACAATCACAAATCCCAAATCACAAACTTTAAATATTAAAATCCTCTGTTGAAAGTATGAAAGTTAAAATTCCCCAAATCACATTTCCTATAGAAAAAAAGAGAGGTATAGATAGCAGATTTTGGAAGAAGGAGTTAACAGATTCTCAGTTGTACGCAGGATCACGTTAGGCAGAAGCCTGGTAAAACATAAAGACTTTTAGAGAATTCTAATCCATTTTATGTGTTTTTTGGTAAATCTGAGTTCATGAAATTGTTCTTATCACAAAACTGACTGTGTATAAGCTTGTTGCATGCTTGTACAACACTGGAACTTCCTTAGTAAATGAACAACTTTCCTGTTTTTATGCATGATAAAAAAAAAAAAGAACTTTCTTGAGATTTCAACTCCTTGACAGACTACTGTACTTTTGTGGTGATAGCTCACTTGGTTTTTGATCAATCTTATCTAAAGACCTAGAAGAGAGACTGGGGATATAGCTCAGTGGTTCAGTGCTTGCCTAACATGCATGAAGCCCTAGGTCTAATCTCCAATATTAAAACATAAAATAAAACCCTAGGTGCAGTGATGCAGGCCTGTAATCCTAGTTGCTTGTGAGGATAGAAAAGGAAGAGTACAAAGCCAGGCGTGGTGGTGCATGCTTGCAGTCCCAGCACTGGAGAGATTGAGACAGGAAGATCACTGTGAGTTCAAAGCCAGGCTGGGCTACACATAGTCGGTTAAAGGTCAGCCTGAACCATGTAATGAAATCCTGCCTAAAAAAAAGACCCCTCCCCCCCAAAAAAAATAAAGGTAAGGAAGACTGAAAATTCAAGGCTAATTTTGGGAATTTAGCAAGATCTGTTTCAAACTAAAGATGAAAAAGACTAAGGGTACAATTCAGTATGAAGGCCCTGGATTCAATCTCCAGTGGCAGAAAGAAAGAATGAAAGAATGAAAGGAAGGAAGGAAGGAAGGAAGGAAGGAAAGGAAAAGAAAGTAACTGAAAGGAAGAAAGGAGGAGGAAGGAAGAAAGAAGCAAGCTGGGACAGTGGCACATACTTATAATCCCAACGGTAATTGAAATCTGAAGTTACCTGTGATGAACTGAGATTCCTGGCCAATGGAGGTAACAAGACACCTGCTGGAGACACTGCCCATGCCCTGATGTCTGCACTTGCTCTGACAGAGCGCAGCCAAGTCCTGATGTACAATCCTCATACTTTAGGTCTAATACATTGCTGATTGATACCTGGCTGGTGGACCTCAGCTAAACCTTAGTGAGAGGACCCAGCACTATGTACAGGCACAGATGTATGTTAACAGTGCTTCTTCCCTTCAGTACATCTGTTGTTAGGGTAGAAAAAAAAAAGACTTTAAAAACCAATGGTTTCCTGTAATCCTAGCACTTGGGAAGCTGAGGCTGGAAGATTGTTTGCAAGTTCAAGACCAGCCTGGGTTACAAAGTGAGTCCAACGCCAGCCTGAACTGCATAAGTGAGACCTTGTCTCAAAAAGACAAAACAAAGAAACAAACAAAAAACCCAATGGTTTCCTATCGAACCAGAAGTCTTTTCCATCCTGCAGAGGGGAAGCTCCTAGCAGGCGGTGCACTGAGTTTTTTATGAGATCAGAAAGGCACCATGCTTGTGCCCGTGTAGCACCTGGAAATGTGTAGATTGAAACTGGGTGTTAGGTGTGAGCCAGAGCTTATCACTTTTACTCCTGGTGCTCTGGTTGCATTCCACATAAAATTATCACCTTGTAGCTATTGAACTTGGAGAATGCATACTGAACAACTGTCAGCATTTAAGAAAAAAACTTTTAAATATTTACAGTTTTACATAGTGCTAATCATTGAGATGTATGTTTATGAAGAGGAAATTTTACATTATCCAACACCACCCTGCTCTTGATTCTCGTGGATTGTGGTGTTAACTCTCCTGTACACACTGCAGGTACCTAAAGATCCTGAGTGTGGTTGTTGCGATGATGAGGCTGATGTGAAGACCCTTACTTAGGGTCTTGCAGGTCCTTTTAGTACACTGTCCTGGCATAAACTGACAACTGACAGTATTCCATAGGTCCAGCCAGAGGGGCGAGGTCCTCTCAGCTGGCATCCAGGTTGTCCAGGTTCACTAGACCGTGAACAGACTGACCTCTTGCTGAGAAAGAGACTGTGCTCACCACTGAGAATTCCAGATGTAGGAGATGTGCCTAGAAGATGAACTGCTCAGTCCCCCACCCCCTGCCATTTTAAGTAGCGGACAAATGGATGTGCTTTGCAAAGATTTTTTTAATGTGTATGAACAGCAAATAAAGCAGCATTAGTTATGAATCACCCTGTCCAAGTCCTTAATGCTCAACACTTCTTCTCTTATTTAAACAGGTGACAACTGTCTTTTGAGCCTATGAAAAATTTTACATTATAACAATTATATGCCCTACCTGTTAAAAATTATTATTCTAGGACTTATGTGGTTTTAATCACATTCCTGCTTCTTAAAACAAACTGCAAGAGAGACAGCCAGCAGATGAACAGAAAAGACACAGAGTATTTATACAAAGTGGTACACTACTCTGCTGTAAAGGGTAAGCTTGAGGCATTTGTAGGCAAACAGATGCACCTTGAGATCATATTAAAGGAAATAAATCAGTTTAAATATCATGATTTCTCTTACTTGAGAAACCCAAAATATAAATAAAGAGCAAAATAAAGGATTGGTAATAGGAATTAGGGAGATCTTTTTCAAATGGGAAGGAGAACAAGAGATGGAGTGGGGGAGGGAAGAGAAACAGGATGTTTAAAAAAGAAAAAAACAAACAAATAGAGCTTTTTAAAATATGAAAGTGGTCAAGAGTTGGAACAGGGAAGGATGGGAAGGGAAAGGGACAAAAAGAATGAAGATGTTACATACACGTACAAATTCCCCATGATACGTGTAGCCGTTATGCACTGCAAACATGTTCTAATAAAAATACACTAAAAAGTGAGACACCTTAAAACTACCTTCCATGTTGGAAAAAGTCTAAAAAGATTTAAGAATCCAGGAATATTTAAAATACAGGGTATGTATAAGTCATTTAAAAGTTTTGATTTTAAGTTCTTAATTTGCTCTAAAATTTTTTAAAATTATTTTTTCCATAATTGTATGTTCAAGATTTTAACTTTCAGAATTTGAATATTTGGGATTGTGGCAATTTACATGTTCCTCAATTTTAGGAAAATTATGAATCGGCCAAATCTCTCTCCCTTTGAAGTTAAGCTATATAGAGTGAACTGCTTTTTTTTTTTTTTAAAGTTGTGGAACACAATGGAGTTTTATTTTTATACATCAAAAATCAACTTTTAAATCTATTGCTTACTGTGGACTTCATAAATACCACAGGTGTTGGATATATGTGATGTTTAATTTTTTCTAGGCAATGCTACCAACAATATATAAAATAAATTTCAAAACATCCACCCAATGTTACAACTCAAATTCAGAAATAAGCACTTGCACCTCAAATTCCTATTAATCTGTAGTAAACTTATTTAACTTAATTAAATGGAAGTGGTTGGTATACACACTGCTTGCTCAATTCTCTCCAAATGGGATTTATGTCTATCACGAAAATAAAGTAGCTTCAGGTTAAATAACAATGTTAAGATACTACGTAAGTATGATTGCATTTATAATTCAGCCTGGATTCTTGGTTCCAGACATACACAGACAGAGAGACTGTTTTATATAGAAGAAACTTAGGCTAAAGATACACACTTGCCAAAATATTTATCCACATATTTTCTGGGAATCGCTGGAGAGATAAAATATAGAAACAACTTTAACATTTTGAAGTTTCTAAAAACAGTTGAGTTTTAAGAATAACCTGTAAAAGTGCTTTCACTCATTAGTTTGTTCTAAACAATTTTATCAGACTATGTAAATAGTCTAGTCATTATTTTCCACTTTTGAGATACTGGTTCATAAAGCATTTAAATCTCTATGAATCAAAGCACCACCTACTGGCATCACGGCAGTGAACTGCAATAAAAGCGAGTCTACAAAAGATACTTGTGAATATCCTCGCTTTACATCTTTAATACTGTCTTACAAGGTCAGGCACTCTTCAACCAGCTCAGTGCAGTTTAAAACAAAATAATTATAGTTGGACCAGTGACTCTAAATCTAAACAGATAATTCCTATGCAGTATTTTACTAAGAACATATTTTCATGCCAAATACATGTAAAATTTCTCACAAAGTCAGATTGTTACACACATTCTGAATAGAAACTGCGGTGTTTAAGTCTCAACAGTCAATAAAATCAACACTACATATTAGGCTGCCTTTAAGTCATTTAAGTAAATGAGATATAATCTCCAACTTGTGTTAAAAGTCAAAAAATAACTTTTTTAATGTGAAGTTTTAACCATAATCAACCAGTCAAGTGCAAAATTACCATATTATGATGCAAAGCAAACTCCACTCACAGTACATTTATTAGAGATCTGAACGCAGATACAGCTATAATTGCAAAACTGAGGCTCCCTGAACAGGGGTAATGAGAAAGAAAATCGTGTCATGGATCAGGAACCAATTTTCACTTCAATGATGATTAACACTTGCTTTGTCTAGTGGAACATGTTTCTTTCACTGAGGATACATGTTTGATTTTTAATGCTGGGGAAAATGTAGAGGCTCATGTTTTAAAAATCCACTTTTATACAGTTATGTATTGATTAGATATGAAAGGAATGAGTTTCTTTTCTGAAGAAGGCCAATTATTTTAATCAAATACTGACTTATCAATTTATCCTTGACAAGTGATTCTCAGAATGATAAATGAACTAACTACAAATATTAATGTGTGTACATATACATATTGAGAGGTTATTCCTTTCAGATCCACACTTCTGATTTAAAATGTAACTAAGTTCTCTCAATAAAGAGCATTAATTTTATAACAAATTATCTTTTCTGCACTGTTCGCATTTTTTTATTTTTAATTATTTCTATAAATACTCAAAAAAAAAATCTCCAATCTTGAACCAACTTACATTGGCAGTCTGAGGCTTATTTCAACACCTTTTAAAATATTTTGTTAAAATGTAAAAACTCTGAAATTACAAACAAAAAAATTACAATTTTACAGTATATAGCTAGTTTATTTTTTTAAAAAAATATTCTGAGTTGTTTTTATGCAAGTAATCAAGTGTTATTTTTCAAATGAAAACTCCAGTATAGGCCAAAAGAGGATATGCGGTCTCGCCTGCTTTTACCCTTTTAACTTTTTTATGCTGGTACTTCAACAATTTCAAAGATGTCATTGGGTAGAATCACATAGCCTCTCTCTGACACGTCATCTTTCTCTTTCTGGAAGTGCACAACCTCTTTTAATTTTTCAAGCTGCCGCTCTTGTCTTCTGCATCGCTGCTGGGCAGTCTTAAGCTTCTTCCTGAGTTTTTCAACTTGCTGCTCCAGCTGATGAATCCTCTTCCTCTGGTGCATTGTATCCTCCACAGTGTAGTTGTGGTCACAGAAAACGGAGAGATTGTCAGGGGTCTGAAGAGGCGGCATTAGCAATCCAATGGCGGCATCCACCTGGGCAATGGGAGGTGTCAGGGGAGGCGGGGGAAGCTGTCCTAGTGGCTCCAGAGGCTCCTCTTTCTAGAACAGTGACACAGAACACATGTGAACTTGCTGTTAGCACAATGCTTGAAAGAATCCTGCAGAATATCACAAGCATTAGGAGTATTCCAAAATAAGCCAATAGCTTGTCTTTTCTACTTGAAGGGAGATGCAATCAGGAGATTAAGTCATTTCATTTAGTTAAATACTAAGCATTTAAAATGGAGGAGAAAAAGTTAGAAATTAAACTGTCAAAACTGACAAAAGAAAGAGTTGCTAATGTAAGTAGAAATACAGAGTGCTCTTTAAACAAAACACAAAAATAAATTGAGTTTCTTAGCGTGAGAATGTTTAATAAACTACACTTTGTGTTTTCAACACATGTATCGCTATGGCTAGGCAGCATGGCACATGGGTGCAATCCCAGCCACGCAGGCCACTGAAGCAGGAGGACTGTAATTGCGAGCCCAGTCTGGCAGCACAGCCAGACCCTGTCTACATAAACAACTAAATAAACAGGGTTGGGGTGTAGGTCAGTTCAATGCCCAGAACCAGAAAAAAACCCTCCCCAGGTGCTCTAGTTTTCTTACCCTTTTTGAGTTTTCCAAATTTTCTACAATGAACACATTAATTTTTCGAAACAAAAAACAACACTTAAAAACACATACTACCAAAAAACCCCACAAAAATCCAAACAAAACCATATATTACCTTGTCATGAGGCTCAGTACAAAGAAATATGGTGGGGACGGCGTTCTCCTTCAGTAACTTGTTGTTGCACTCCCTCTTAAAGCAGTCTGGAGTGAAGTGCTCCGAGCAAATGCTGCTGTACTTGGTGGGCTTGAAGTTTTTCCTTCTGACAGCTGCTTCCCATTGTTTACAAAGACTGGGTCGAGTAAGAGGAAATCTAAGAAACATAATACAGTTCTCTGTATTAAATAAAGGTACTCAGATTTTCAGTTCACTAACAAACTATAATAGATTGATGCTTGCAAGCTGTGGAGTACTCAAGACCAGGTCCAGGTATCTAAATGATTAATGTTTAACTTTTTATGTAGATGACACTAAAATGTTCAAATAAAATATATACTATAGGATTAAACTGTATTTATGCTACTGTGTGGTACTGACAAAAAAAGACCTTAAGATCAATGGAACAGATTAGAAGATGCAGAAACAACCACATACACACTAAGCCACCTTAACGGTGCCAAACTCATTCACTGGAAGAAAGACAGCCTCTTTAATAAATGGTGCTGGAAAAACTGGCTCTTCACATGCTGAAGATTAAAACTGGACCTGTATCTTTCACCATGCAGTAAACTAAAATCAGAATGAATCAAAGATTTTAATATCAGACAAACATTAAATCTTCTGGAAGATCAAGTAGGTAAACATCTTGAAGACACTGGTGCGGGTAAAGACCTTATGAACAAAACACAGACTGCACAGGAACTATCACAAAGACTCAACCCCGGGATCACCCTACTGAAAAGCTTTTGCATAGCAAGAGAAATCACCAACAAAGTGAAGAGACAACCCACAACATAGGAGAAAATGTTTGCCAGCTGTTTCTCAAAGGATTACTATTGAGAACATATAAAGAACTCAAATAATCAGTCCTCCCAGATTTAAAGACCCAATCCAAAAATGGGCATCTGAGATAAATACACACTTCTCAGATGAAGAAATACAAATAGCAAATAAATATGTGAAGGGGCTGGGGATTTAGCTCAGCCGCATAAGCACCTGCCTTGCAAGCAGGAGGTCATGAGTTCGATCCCCGGAACTCATGAAAAAGACAAATAAATAAATAAATAAATGTGAAAAAATGTTCAATATCACTGGTCATTCTAGAGTTGCAAATTAACACCCAGGTTCCATCTCACCCTGGAAAAAAAATGACTAGTAAAAAGGAATCAAGCAATAACAAATGCTGGAGGGACTGTGGGAAAAACGGAACCTTTCTCCATTGTTGGTGGTAGTGCAGACTGGTGCAACTATGGTGGAAAACACTACACCCAAAACACTTACGTTTTAAACTTTTCCTCCGTTAACTATTTCTCTATAATCTGTAAAACTTATTACTGGATTTGACTTATATAAATCACACATAGTCAAAGTCTTGCAAAGGAAACCTAATTAAACCCAGTAAAAATTGTAAAAACAGAATATGCCTTAATGGAAATGTCACATTTTGCAGACCATCCTTCATTAAGTAATTCGATTTGGAGTTTTCTTTTCCCATTTCAAGTCTTATTTCATTCTAGGATTCTAACCTGCAGTAACTATTGGATAAAAATAGGGACCAGTTCGTAATAGCTCACATCGACTCTTATAATTCCCGACTATGACTCCTGTTATCACCGTTCACATTATCAGTGCTGTGTGCAGGCACAGAGAGATTTATGTTAGCCATACCAGGAAAATTCCTTTAAAAACCTAAGGATTCTTAAAGATATGTTCCTAGAAAATGGGTCCAAACATCAATCTTTCTTATCATGCATCCTATTCACAGCAGCAACAAAAACAAGGTCTTCTTCCTGTTTATAGTCTTTGTTTCAATATCAAACAGACCCTCAAGCCACTACTAAGCCCAGAGCGCCTAGCGAGCCCCAAGCGCCTCAAAGCAGCAGAGGCTCCAGGGCGCCGGCGCAGAAGAAGCCGGACCGGGCGCGCGCAGCCCGAGGGCCCCGCCCCCCTGCGTCAGCGGTGGCGCGGGCACGCGCCTGGCTCCGCCCCACCCCGGCCGGCCGCGCGCCCTCAGCTTAGTGGAGGCCGCGCTGTTATCCTTTAGGTTTACTCACTTGTGGAACGAAACAGGTTTATCCTTATCATATCGGTTCTTGCAGCCGTAGGCAGAACAGGACTGCACCATCCTTGTGGGGTCTCAGTCACTTCGCTTCTGCCGCCCTAGAAGGCAGGTAAAGGGGCGTTCAGTGTCGCTGCGCTCGACCTTGAGACTCTTGTTTTTCTGTAGCTTTTCGTGAACTATTATATGGATGATAGTCACACTCGAGAGTGACTACTTTGCTCGTTTTGTTGTTTGCATTAGCGGAAGAACCACAGCCATCACCCGTCTCCCATCTCCAAGATGGCGGAGGCAGCTTCAACCTCACCTCTCGCGAGATGTTTTTCACCGTCTCTGATTAGCCCAGAGGTCAGAGGTAACGTTTCCTGTGAAACACCATTGGCTGAGGCGAGTCGGGCCTCAGCGTGCTTAGCGTCGCGGAAGTGGGCGGGGCTTCCGGGTTCTGGCCGCAAGAAAAGGTGTATTTGCGCGCGGAGGCGTGGCAAGGCGGAAATCGACCAGGGGTTGGGGGGCTCGTGGGCTGGGTTTGTCTGGAGTTTTCCTATTGGCGCGTGGTAAACAAACACGGACTGTTGGTCTAGTGACTTAAAGGAAACAGCTGAAGTTTTTGTACTCATTTCTTTAGAATGGCGGCCGCAGATAGTGCATGGTTTACAAAATCTTGTGGACCAGTTCTTCAAAACGCTAAACTTTATCTCATTATCTTTCTCTTCAGGGAGACCTTCGGGGCGAGTATTTCAGCACGGAAAGCAGATGGTCATGTGCTGCAAGGAGGCAGCACTCCGGAAGGTTCTTCATGGCCGTGAAATTGCTAGTGATTTTCTGTTCAGTGAAACCGCCCGTGTACAGTCTGCTTCGCTGCCTCTCGTGTAGATCCAGCCCTGAGAGTGGACTGGAATAATTACATGGTCCTTGTACTGCAGTTTCTGCCCCCTTAAATGTTGACGTTTCCCTCCAGGATTCTTTTGCCCTTCTGGAAGTACTTTGTCCCTTGAACTCAAGCAAGTGCTATGATTTAAGTGTTTTACTTCCCACCTAAGTATGTTCTTTTTTTCGCTTTGGTGGTTTTTTTGAGACATGGTCTAGATGTATAGTGAAGGCAGACCTTGAGCTCGTTTATGTAGCCCAGGCTGGCCTTGAACACAGGACGCTCCTCCCTCAGCTTCCTGAGGGCTGGGATTACAGGGCTATGCCACTGTGATAGGTCATAAGTATATTCTGACTTCTGATTTTTTCATCAACCGTCTAGACCGGAAGCCATGGAATCATCTAACATTTTTTTCTCACCCTTAAAACCCATTATGACTAGATTACTTTATAATTATAAATAACTCTATCCTTTTCATCAGTATTCTCACCAACCCTCACAGTTAGCTGGTAACAAATAGATGAGGTTAGAGAGGAACAAGGGGAGAGGAACATGCATGGCCTTATAGGGCTCTGAATTTACTTTTTGAGCTTTTCAAAATGATAATAGGGGCCAGGAATTTAGCTCAGTGGCTCAAGCAACTTGCCTGGTAAGTGCATCATCCTGAGTTCAATCTCCAGTACTGGGGGGGAAAAATGGAGAATAGGGTTTTTGTGTATATAGTGCTGGAGATCAAACCCAGGGTCTTAAGTGTGCTAAGCAGGCACTCTTAAAACTGGCTTTTGAGAGAAGTAGCATAAATTTTAAAATGATCATTCTCTGCAGGGTGTGGTTCTGTATACCTCTAATCCCAACATTCAGGAAGCTCAGACAGGATCAAGGCCGGTCTGGAATACATATTGACACCCTGTCTCAAAATACTGAAAAATTATCTGATACCTGTAAAATATACTGTTACACAGTTGGAGGGCTGGCCATCTGGTGTCTGTGGGAGTAACAATGAAAGAATCAGTGATCTTGCCTTGTCCTGGTTTTGCTTTTGTTTCTTAAGCCAGTACTGCAGTGGGTATTGTATCTGGGAGTACATTAGTGAAAGTTATTTTGTATAAACCTGAGTTCATTGCAACCCCCCCCATTGAATTATTTAGAGTATTTGTTAGAAATAAGAAGCTCTTGGATATCCACCAAGAGAGGAAGAAGTCCAACATGCTTTCTCTGTGGTGACCTAATATAGGTATGTGTGTGGGAGGTGGTGTTTCAAAAGTAGAGTTCAAAGAGTTCAAAAAGAGAAACTGGTTATCTCTTGCTGTCTGAAAGTGAGGGAGGAGCTGTCTCTTTCCTGGGAGGAAAGATCTGTTCTCTTATTTTTTAAAACTTATCCCTTTTTTGTGTTTTTTATGTTTCTAAGCTTTACTGCTTGATTAACCAGCTGCTTAAATCAGCTCTTTTGGTTGCTGGAATTAGCTCTGTTATCTTACCTATGATAAGGCTGCTGACTATGCATAATAACATTACTATATTAGTGAAACTAACAGTTTCCTTCATAGGGCTTATATTCTAGTGAGGGAAGGACGTAAAAAAAAAAGTACAATAAAATTGTGTTAAGGTGCCTGGATATATCAGAAATGCTGTCAGGGTGGACAGATGGGGAGAAGTATCACTATCTACTTTTAACTAGAGTAGTTTATGTGAGGAGTGAACTGAGGTAGAGGAGAAGAAATGAAGTGGAAAAAAGAAACAAGGTTTGGGTTAAATTCTTGCTCAGTTCTTTACATACACGTTAATCACTTATGGAGTATTTACAGCAGTAATTTGTTAACCCTAAATTTACTTAGCCTATTTCATTGCTTTACTAGATAGGATACCAAGATACAGAATACTGGAAGCAGTTTTCAGGATTTGTAAGGCACAGCTCCATAGCATCAATTCCAGACCTCCTGAAGCAAACAGTGTCTACAGGTCTCCAGCCATTGTTTTAAATCTGTAACCACTTTGGGTTTCAGGAAAAAGTGACTTGCAGATTACACATGATACCACCTCCCCCAGAGAGGGGCAGCTGCTCCTTACGGGAACCAGGGTGCACCCTTCCCAAGCCACAATCATCTCATGGGAACTAATGGTCCTCAGGACACATGGATCCCTCCAGAGCTACAAAGCCAGAACTGAGATGATGACTGGCTAGACCCTGACCCACCACAGCGAATTTATAACGGCTTGCCTCTGTCCTTTGTGAGGTACCAGTCTTTAACTTCATCAGTGAGCTCCTTCCAGTTGCTCAAGCTGGAGTTCTTTATTCACCTCTTACTAACACATCCTTAAATTTTTTTCTGTGACAACAGTTCACAAACCTACTCCATGGGGTGATGGAACCATTACCATAAGAACTTGGATGGAGTGAATGAGCCAATGAAGGTGAGGCCATTCCAGACCCAGGGAAATGTATGGTAAGGCCATGACTTGAGTCTGACAGTACCAGGTATCAAAAGTTCCGTTTTCCAGGAACTGAATATGGTGAAAGTCCTGCGAGCACTGGGGAGGAGAGGAAGTGAACATGTTATTGCTGAGTTATCAGGTGCAGCGATTAGTAATGAACCTTAGTCAGGGAGACCTGATCCTGTACTTTTAAAAAATTTTTTGTGGGCTTCATACTTGCTAGGCAACTGCTCTGCCACTGAACTACATCCCCAGCCCCTCTTATAAAACAGTTTTAGCTACAGAGATGATTTGAAGAGTAACAGAGTGCAGCTGGGTAGTTAAATTATGAGGCTGTTGCAAATAAGAGATGATAGCAGCTTGGACCCATGTGGGAGCAGAGGGAGTGGTGGGATTTCAGATACACTGCAGCCATAGAAATGCTCAGCAATGGTTATGTGAGTTAGGGGCATAGGAGTCTAGCTGTCAAGAGTGACTTGAGTTTGAACTTCCAGCTTCAATGTCTGGTTCGAGCATGTACATGGATGATGAGGTAAAGGCCATTACTGAGTTGCAAATGACCTAAAAGAGAAAAAGGCTACTTTCCCCCACAAAATAAAGCATTTGCAAGGGGAATAACGACGTAGGGAACTGGTAATTATGTAGTTGTAGGACTGCAGAAAGTCTGGTGAGAGTGTAAAGTAGGAAGAGGCTGAGAATACAAACTCCTGAAGCAGCAGCAGATCATCAACCAGTACGGAATGTGGATTTCTAAATCACTAACCTAAAGTGAAACCAGCCAATTCTGTTGTTCCATGGCTGGATTTCCCTCGGCCAAGTTCTTTGCTTCCTTCTCTTCTTTCCCATTCTCATTCCCTTTTTTGGGTTGGGTAGTGAACTTTTAACCCAGGACCTTTGCACCTACCACACCTACCTCTTTATTTTATATCCTGAATTTGCAAAACTTCTGGAATGTTGCCCAGGCTGGGTTCCAATGTGTGATCTGTTTGCGTCAGCCTCCCAGAGCGCTAGGATTACAGGCGTGCTCACCATGCCTGGCTTTGGTGTATTTTTGATACAGCATTCATGCTCCCTGGACCTTGTTCTGTACTGGCTGCTGCTGCCTGAACTGTTCCTTACCAACATTTGATACATTAATAGTTTTTTTCCTTTTTTTTTTGGACTGGGTTCAAACTCATGACCTTGTGCTTGCCAGGCAAGCACTTATGCCTCTGAGCTAAATTCCCGGCCCCCATTAACAGTTTTTGAGAAAGCTTAGATGCATTCCATTTGCTATGACCACCTTTGTGTAGCTTTAACAGAATCCTTTCCTCCTCCCTTGGAGTGTGGCAAGCCTGTCTTGGTGCTACTCAGGTTTTGCCTCTTCCCTTAGCCCCTAATAAACTGCACTTTGTGTAGTCCTGCCTCTATGTGCTGTTTCGATCTTTGGGCGTCTTCCATGTGGCATGCAGTTCTCAAACAGCAAGTTTCCTCCAAACATACACATACGTGTATACACACATTTGTTTTTGGTGAGCTATCACCTGATTTTCAAAATATCACAAAAATTAGTTTAAAGAATGTTATGTAACTCCAACATTCTAGGATTAGTGAGAGATTACAGTAACAGGTAGATATAAACTATCTTTTCTCTTAAGACCTATTAGAAGTCATTACATGTCATAGTGAAACTCACTACGGTATACAATTAGTATGTGCTAATACTTATTAAAGTCTGAAAAGATGTGTTACCATTTTGATCTGAAGACTATGTATTTTTAGTTTTGCTTTTAAAGCCAAATGTAGGCTGTTAGATATCATAACTCTTCCATCCCATAGTACATTCTCTCAAGAGGCCTAGTGTATGAGAGATCAAGCCTGCTCTGGAGACAGCCTTGTGAAAACATGCTGTTGCCTCTTGGGGCATTAACTCACGTGTGACCTAAGGACAAGTCAGATGTAGATGGATGAGAGGACACTGGCTCACAGTTAGTAGATTCCTCATCTTTTTTTTTTTTGGTACCAGGGATCGAACTCATGACTGTGCGCTTGCAAGGCAGGCGCCTATGCCGCTGAGCTAAATCCTCAGCCCAGTTAGTGGGTTCTTAAATGCCAATGCCATGAAGACTGTCTCGTTCTAACAACAAAAGCTCAAGAATGTCTACGTAGTAGTTTTGTCTCCTGTCGGGGCCAAAGTCTATTGACCTGTTCTTAGGAATCCTTAAGACTGAGGCCCCAAAAGCCTTGTGAAATCCCTTGCTTCTTCAAACCTGTTCCAGGTTTGTGGACTGCTGTTTACAGGGATGTCTATAGAGTACACTCAGGGTTTCATAGAGCTGGCTATGCGTGCTGGTACCCACTTACAATCTGGGCACTCTTGAGGCTCAGGACTGCAGCCTGGACAATTTAGTGGGACCTGGTCTGAAAAACAGAAAATTAAAAAAGTACTAGGGACTTAACTCAGCGCCAAAGGCCCTGGGTTCAGTCCCCAGTACTAAAGAAAACAAAATCAATGGCTGGGAAGATAGGCATGGGGGGCACTATAGGACACATGAAGGCAGACTCAAAGTCTTATTTATCAAAAATACCACAGAATGGAGGTAAAGAAATCTATAGAGAGATCTAGCAGAATCTAATTTAAACTCAATCTTTTTGTCCAGAATAGATTGCCCAGATTACATAATTTTCCTTAAGGGAAATTTAAAAACATCTAAAATTAATGTGAAATATCATAAGACACTGGATGTTTATAGTAAGTGGGTACTAGACAGTAGGGAGGAATGAGGATAGGGATTTTTCTCAACAAAACGATGGTGACAGTTAACTACTGTGTGACGTAGTTCAAAACAGCTAGACGATCTGAGTTCTTCTCATCACAAAGAAATGATTGTTTCAGATGGACAACCTAAACGCCCTGATTAATCAGTATGTAATTGGTAAGTGTGAAGCATCGCAGTGGCCCCACATACACTCACTACTGTCGGAAAAAACGTTAACTTTGTAAAGGTGAAAATATTTTTCCCTCTCTGCATTTCATTATAGAGCTGAATTACACTTAAAGCTGGAACTAAGTTATAAGGTCAGTGCTTTAAAAAATCAGAAAAATTCTAGATAAAATGATTGAATGAGTACTTCAGATCACCATCACAATAGTATACACATAATTTTGGATGTAAGCCCACAGAGGAATGTATACGTACAATAAAATGTCCATAGGAACAATGGGATATAATAAAAATGCATAGGTAAACAATTTTTAAAAATCCATTGCAGCTGAATTTTAGCATGATAGTAATGTACCTGTAAACTTAGCACTCTGGGAGGCTGAGGCAGGACAATCACAAATTTATGCCTAGCCTGGACAACGTACTTAGACTGTCTTTACCATAAAAAAGGGCTGGACATATAGCTCAGTGCAAAGGCTCTGGGTTCAAGCCTCAGTACGACCAAACCAAACCCAACCCAACACAATTACTGTAACTAATGTTCTCAACAGTTCAGAAATGGAGAAACTACACCTTTAAAAAATTTTTTAGATACACTGCTTTTATTCAAAATAATAAAATACTTGACAAACTTCACATCACAAAATTGAAACCAATCCATCCTCTATACCAATTCTGTGAGGTAGGTATCTGTGAAGCCACAGGGGTCACCTTCTGCCCTTTCTCCTCTCAAACATGGAGAAGTATGGGAGTGGAAACCACTGCTGAGTGGCTTGTAAGAACAACTGTTGCTCTGTCTTGTTCCCCCCAGAGCTGCCCAGGTTGTCATCTGAGCTGCTCCTGGGGTTGGACCATATGTTTTTGAGAGTTAAAATATACACATATATATGTATTTTTTCTTGTACCAGGAATTGAACTCATGACCTTGCACTTGCCAACCAGGCGCTATGCCATGAGTTTAAATTGAAATAGTTGCTTTGAATTATATGATGTAATTCAGAATCATACAAGTATCACTATGGTGGTTAAAACCCTGACTGTACTGTAATACTCTCAGATCTCTTCTGCATTCTTCAGCAGTGATCAGTGAGGATGACTTTATAATCAGTTCTAAAAGTTTTTTTTTTTTTTGGTAGTACCAGGGATTGAACTCGCCACCTCACATTTGCCAGGCTGGCACTTAAGCCACTTAGCTAAATCCCTGGCCCCAGTTCTAAAATTTTAAGATGTCAGAATGTTTACTTGTCAGTTTAATAAGATCTCATATCATACAGTGCTTTTGTATGTTACAAAATTTGGCACAATATATCTTTACCAAGAAAGCAGCAACAATTCCAGATATTACAAAATTATTGTAACCAGAAATCTGACACTAGGAGAATGCATACACAGAAAATAAAGTCCTTTAAAAAATGTTGCTGTGGTTCCACATCAAATTTATCATGAACAGGATATATATACATTTCCAGTTCCAACTGGTACCTGTGCTGAAATACCTTTGTCTAACATACACTACTCTCTTAAGAGGCTTGGTTTGGAAGGGTAGTCTCTTATGAGTCATCTTTCTAGACCTTTTTCCCTTAGGAGCACCTAAGTGTCCTATTCCAGTGAAGGAATAATACATTCTGAAAGACTTCCAAAGGACAGCGGTTTCTCTCTTGCTTCTACTTAACATCCGTTGTGTCTACCTAAACATCCACCAGTTCAATCGCTTATTTGTTGCATGACTTCAGCCAGCACTTTCATCAATAGCAGGGGGATTTCACCTATGGAAAGGAAGGTATATGCCATTTCTTCCTTACAAGATTTCCGTAAGGATAAGATGAAAAGTACGTGAGGAATTGCCGGAACTTCAATGTGCTATAGCTAAGCACTGTTGTTTCTACAACAAGCAACAGCTCTGTCCTAGGTCCAAATTAGGAAACAAATTGCTATTTCATTTGCAATCTCACTATAGCTGACAGCCAAATGGATTAACAGGAAAATGTGACAGGTTTTCTCTTTTTTTCTCCCTGTATACCCACAATGAGGCTCACTAAAAAACTGATGGATAATATTAGTATCAGTGACTGCAGATGATAAAGACCACACTGACTCCTGGGTATCAACGTATACCTGCTGTCTTCAGGCTGATAATGAGCAGTGCCAACCAAACGAGGAAGGATCTTGCAGTACTCATGGTATTGACTAATGTCAAACAGAAACTGCAAAGAGGGCATTAGATACTCATGACACAGTCATCAGAATACAAACACGAACAGAAGAGCTTACTTATGCAATCCAATATCTTAGACACATCTGCTCATTTTGCACAAGCCAGCAATCAGGGTTTTACCATGCTGCCATCTGGGAGACAGTATTACACAACTTTTCTGACAGCGGACAACCAAATTTTTCCATTCTGTTGCTAGAGCTCATCAGTAATTTAAATGTTCTCTTACCAAATTTAAATAGTGTTCTATTACCTTCCTACAGGGTTTGGTGCTAACAGGCCTAAAGATCCAGTTTCCTTAGAAATACAGTATCACCCAGGCTCCTAAAACAATGCTCCCTTTATGAGGATGTATTCCTTTCAAAGGATCGAACTTTTGTGCAAATGTCATAACTGTGAACATCAAGTATGCTTGACTGGAGATAATTTTTTCATCTTGTTAATTCTTTTGTTGATTAAAAAATGTTCCATAGACTAGAATACAAAGTTAAATTATAAAGTCCAAGTTTCTTCATTCAGTTTCAGGTATTAAGAAAGAAGTATGCCTGAATGGGAAAGCAGAACTGCTCCAAGTGCACAGAACTCAGTACTAAAAGAAACACTAACTTTTCTCCAATATAATACAATATTTTATTATAACAAAAATAGTTAGGTGAGTTTCATAGCTATATAGTACTGTATAGGTAGCCACTAAGGAGGACAAATTGGAGAAACTACATTTAACAGTACTGTATTATATATCCAATTAATCTAAGTAATTGTGGAAGATGTCAAAATATCTCTTTTTAGTAATTCCATATTTTTTCCAGAGACTTTATAGACAATACAGAATCAAGATACAACTGTAAGGTCATTGTAATTCTCATCTTAACATCAGGATCTGTGACATGTAAGAATTCCAGTTATATATTGAGGCATTTGTCAAATGATAATCTGATGTTTGTCTGTCATATAATGGCTTTAACCTTATACGATTATAGATGATTTACACTGACATGAGTCTTTCTGTTTGGTATTATGCCTTAGCTCAGATATTCTAGTTAAACTCATTTCTTTATTCATCTAGTTAGCCTTTGGGTTATCACTTCTCGATACATAATAGAGATATAGATAAGCAACAAAAAGATGACAAAGAAATCATCTAGAAAGCCTAAAATTCCAAATAAGGCTTCAGGTACAAAATCTAGAGGTGATATAAGATAGAAAAAAGCTCCCATTAAACAAAGTATTATCCTAATGCGAAACATCCAGAAAAGACCCCCAACTGAAAACATTTCCCTGAAAGCATGTCTCAGTAAAGTGGGTAGATCCATGATTCTTTCCATAATCTGGTAGGGGGAAAAACAAATATTATGATTTAGCATCTAATATGTCAGATTAAAAACAATTTTCTTATAATGTTTAAACTCAGTTAAAATGACTCAGAGTTTTATGTATTGATCAGATACCACATTTTCTCATTATGTATTTTACTTAAAAATAATTCTTTAATTACTGTGATCTTAACAAAATAGGTCTTATTGCAAGTAATTTGAAAAAAAAAAAAAGTAAGGGTCAACAAGTTTAAAATATGGGATATACAAATTAAGTATCCCTTTATCTAAAAACCCCAAATTGGAAATGCTGCAAAATCCAAGATGCTCTGAAATGTGAAATACTTCAAAATCTCTGAAAATTTTGAGCATAACTCAAAAGTTTTTGAGCATTTCAAACTTTGGATTTTCTGATTAGGGAATCTTCAACTGGTAAAGCATATGCAAATATTGCCAAATACAAAAAACTTTAAAATCTGAAAGTTCTGGTCCCATGTATTTGCTGTCATGTAAAATTCAAGTTATCTCTAATCTGAGTTAGTAAACCAAGAACTTGGTACACAGTTTGAATTCAGAGTCAATCCTTTTAGTAGGTGATCTTGGAGACAGCTATTTATCCTGTAAGAGATGGTTCACAACTAATTGAGTATTTAGTAGTTGTGCTTTGAGTAATCCGTAACAATTACTGGAAGAAAAAGAGATTATACATAGAAGAGCTTTGTAAACTACCAAACAACATGTACTGTATAATAAAGACACACACACTTGGAGAGGTATTTAAGAATCACAGTGAAGTGTTCCGCACAGTCAGTCACTTCTGATTATTCTTCTGCCAGAGTTCATATACATCTAACAATCTGTGTAGAATCCTAAGTCTGACTTTGGGTAGGCATTTTATTTATCAACTGCCACAATTGAACAAGTGAGGATAAAATACTTTTCAAAACTCCCCTAGATCAAATCTTGTACTAACTTTTAAAACAAAAACAGCTACACAGTTTTCACAAAGCCTATGGTAAACTATTTTAAATATCACAAAAATCTCATGTATCTTCTGAGTATCTGTCCTTTCTCAGAGCTATTTTATTCACTTCTAATGTGATATCATTTACTTCAACTGTGGAAGAGTGTCAAAGAGCTAAGTGCCTTTTACATCTATTTTATATTTCATCATATACCACAAAAATATTGTGGGACCAAAAATAGCAAAAGAGACTTCTAAACAATTATAGAGGATAATAATAATTGGATCTAGGCTTCCTTATTGCCTTAAACACCTAGAAAATGATACATGACATCATAAAGGATTAGGAAGCAGAAAAGCACACATTTATTTAATACTAAAGCATTTTAATATTTTTGGCTGGGAGCCATTCTGTTAATTCTCATCTTAAGTATAACTCATTAATTTATTCAACAATGAGGTCGATACCTCTGGCACTAAGAAAGGAACTGAGAATAAAGCAGTAAATAAATAACATGCAAAGTCCTGCCCTCATGACGTTTTCCACCTATTTACGGAGGAAAAGCATGCAATGAAGGAAACCTATGGGGGATGTTGGTCAGGAAAAGCTCCTCTGAGGACGGTCTGTTGAAGACAGGTCTCATCTAAGGGAGGAGAAGTAGGAAATGCACAGAGCAGGGAGACAAGCCAAGAAGATGTCTCGTGTGAAAAAAATTGGAATTTTAAAAACATGAGCGCATCATGATCTGAAAATACTACTTGGGTTACTAAGGAAAAAAAACAGTAGAAGTGTGTGCACGTGTGTGGTGGGGTGATGGTTACCCAGAGCAGGGGGTGATGGTGGCTCAGGCAAGCACAACGGCTTTGGTGACGAAGACACCTGAACTGTCAGGGTGTTCTTATCAAGCAAACAGGCACCCAAAAAGAGCAAGAAAAGGAATAACAGAACTTACGGAGCTCATGAGGAAACAAGGAGAAGAGGAAGTCAAGACAGAAAGAATGAATCAAGGGGTATCAGTCACGTTAGGTCTGGGGCGCCCGGCCATGCAGGAACGCCCACCTAGCGTCAGGCAGAGGCCCAGCGGTGGCTCAGCACCATGTTGGTTCTGGAAACGCATGTTCTGTCACAGTCACACAGCCAGAACTATTCGTTAAGAGTATGAGAAAACCAGAATGAGTCAGTCAAACAGGAAAGCAAGATGAGACAGAAAAAAAAATACCAGTTATAAAATCTTCTCCAGAAGTTTTCTCACAAGACAATGATTTTAGAATCATTAAAAGTCAATAATTTTCTATTTTCCTTCAAGGTTTGTTTTCTAGCTTCTCTTTCATAAAGACGTTTGTAATAAGGAAAGAAGGAAAACTGATACTGGCCCAACACACATAATGAGATTTTTCATAATCAAAGAATCCTAGTAAATCTCACTTTCCAAATAAAATGTAACAGCTCCCTCTTCTAACTTTGTACTGCTACAACAATACTCACAGATCTGGGCTGCCCTGAGAATCTTCGGTTATAATCATTAACGTCTTGATACAATCTCACAACATCCTGAGACTGATCAGTGTCACTAAATACGGTTAGGAGTAAAGTTACCTGTAATTACAAGAAAAAAGCAGTTAAACAGTCAAATCATCAATTTTTCAAGTTATAATAGAATGGGAAAAGCTTTTAAATTCATATTTTACTTGCTTTTTCTTAATAAAGGGAACATGTGAGGGAGCCAAGTTTCTGCCTTATGGTAAAATCTAACGTGACCGGGCGTGGTGGAGCATGTCTGTAATCCCAGCACTGAGGATTACCACAATTTAGAAACTAGCCTGGCTATACAGTGACTCAGGCCAGTCTGAACTACACAGCAAGGTGTGTCTCAAAACAACACAACTATTCAGTGTAAGGGGCGGGGACATAGCATGTAGTTCACTGGTAGAGCACTTGCCGAGCCCTGAGTTTGACCCCTAGCATCACACACATAAAAGGTAAAATATATTTGTAACCCTGTAAGATAAAATGGGCACCATATTCAACAGTAGTTCTAACAGTTTCCTTTCATACAGGGATAAATTCAATAGTTCTGTTTGGTCGAATTTATCTTTGAAGGTGTAAGAATGAATGAGAAACACTGAGATGCAAAGTGATATTAAAAACATATATAACACCTATCACTTTGAGGGGGTGGCACATGCCCGTAATCCCACTTCATGGGAGGCTAAGGCAGGAGGATCTCAAATTTGAGGCCAACTTGGGTAACTTAGTGAGACACTGTTCACCGAAATAAAAATAAAATGTGCCAGAGATGTAGCTTGGTACTCCCTGGGTTTAACCACCAGTATTAAAAAAAGAAAAATTCTTTATTCTCACTAGTATTTGACATATTTTTAATGCTACCATAATATGGCACTATATTAGTGCTACAAATACAAAGACTGGCCTGCTCGAGTAACCTCAATACTCAAACTAGAAGCGGAGGCAGACCTGTTCCCCAGTGGGCTACAGGGAACTTAGGGGTTCTATTATAGCAACGCTGCAGAAGAAGGATTTCTGCTGGGAAGTCAGAAACCTTAAAACTTAAACCTAAGCCTGGACGTAGGTGGGTGTTATAGTACAGGGAACAGTGACAAGTGTGCTCCAGCCAGAGGAAGCAGCCTGCACATTATTGGTTCTGTGACCATTTACTAAAGGAGCGCAGTGAAACTGGAGGCAGAGAAGCACCTGCCATCTGTCTAGCTTTGAGCACTCTACCATTAGGGAGTTGACAGCTATTACAGTAGGATAACTCCATCAGTACTTTGTTAGCCTCTAGTCAGCATGGGGGTGGGACGGAGGAAACTGCCTGCTGACAATACAAATGCCCTGTGAATACTCATGGATAAAGGAGACAGGTTGGGGGTGCAAGACCTAGAACCTGGTCCTGGTCTCTATGTCACTGGCAGATGGCCAGTGGTACTAGTGAAAATTAGCTTCAGTGTTCAGTATTGATTACTTTGTGTCAAAGATCAAATCAACTGAAGAGGCAATTAAAAAAAAATCTATTCTCTCCCTGACATCCTGAGAAAAAGTGAAATATGGATGAGGCAGAATTTAGGATTAAAGAAGAAAGGAGAAAATAAAGGTGTGTCTACACCTCCCCCACAAAAAAAAAAAACAATGATAGTAGTAAGAGTAAGGGCTGGAGGACACACACAGAGTCCACCAAATATGCACACACACCTCGGCAGTTCACCACTCTAATTTATGTCTGAAGCTTTAGGCACCTCTTGGCCTGTGGAGGCCAAAGGCAGTGTATTAATTTTATGAAGTCTCAATAAATTTGATTTTAAAATATTTTTACAAGTCTTTATTTTCCTGATGTATACATTTTTGGTGGACTCGATATATGTGTACATATGTACAAGTGTAAGTCAATACATATAATATGGTTTTATGCAAAGGTCAGAAATCAGATCCCCCTTCCCTCCCAAAATGCATGCTGAAGCGACATAACAATTTTCAAAACCAAGAAAACGCCTACCTCGAAAGTCAGGCAAGCACTAGCTGTAGGTGAAGAAGGGGAGGTGGGGATTTGGAGGGAGCCTGCGGGGTGGCTTTTGGGCAGGTGGCAGCTTGTATCCTACACCTGGCGGTGATCACCCCCGTTTCTCAGTAACTCAGTGAGCTATGCTTTGTGGACTTCCACCGTACATATAGCAAACCACACACAAAAAGACTTTTTAAAAAGCTATTTTCTTTTATCATTGTATTTTTTTTTTCTCTACAGGTTTAGACCTTCACAAAAATTCTCTGTTGTTCTAATAGTTTTTGGAGGGAACAAAAATCAGTGTATGCTGTTAACCAGACATTTTATCCTTCATTTTGTATGCTGCAAGACTTCCCATGATAATGCTATCACACATGAGCATAAATTGTTATCAGAGAGGTATGTATTTTTGTTTAAATGAAACTATTAAAAAACACATATATAAATGATAGAATGAACCATTCTGCTATATTTAAAAAAAATAAGAGCTTCACCTTTTTTTCAGAATTATTCACTTCAGTGTTTTGTTTCTCCAATTTGTCAGAGAAATGGACAAAAATTATCAATTCTCATCTCTGCTAATATTTGTCTTTACACTTATAAAAATTTAGGTCTTATTTATGTCTGATGTGTTCAAGATAATTCAGTGTGGCTATGTCATTAAAAAATGAAATATTAATAAAATTATTCTATTTCATTGAAGATATCTGGACCTTTCCTAAGAAAAGGCCGGGGATGGGGATGTAGCTCAGCGGTGTCTGAAGCCCAGGGTTCAACCCCCAGCACCCTCCCCCAAAAAGCAAACAAAGCAGATTAAATATAATTAAGAAAGGGAAAGCAACCCCCGCCCCACCCCACAAGTCCAAGTTATATAACTCAGTGTGGTTAGTTAGTTCAGTTATTCCTTTGCTGGCTTCGCAGCAAAGACAATGAAATCACTGTCTTTGAAATCACTGGGCAGCACTCATTTATCTTTTTTTTAGTACAAATGTAGGACTTCAAATAGAATGTCTTTTTTTCTGTGGCATGTTAAAGATGTTTTCGTTTTTTTTAAAAATAACTGAGTAAAATCATAGAAGCTTTAGATCAATAAGCTTCTGCTAAAAAACTTAAAATATCTGAAATTTAAATTCAAAACCTAGAATCTATAAATGATGGGCAGAAGGTGTTGCTCAGGAATAAAGGCTGTGGTACTTGAAGGTCATATGAACTCAAAACCTTCAGAAAAGCTGGGTGTGGTGGTGCATGCCTGCAATCCTGGCTTTGTAGGCTGAGGCATGTAGACTGCTGAGTTCAAGGCCAGCCTGGCTAAAAAGTGAATTCAAGGTAGCCTGTGAAACCCTGTCTCAAAAAGACCAAAACCAAAACAAAACAAAAACCTCAGAAAGCCCCAGTCAACCAAATAAACAAAATAAAGTAACATAAATGATACTTTCTGGATCGAAAAACAGTTACCGTTTGTCTACATATTGGACAACTGATGGCACCAAGCCAAGTACCATATCGCCAGTATGCAATAATGCAGGCACCTAGTGGAAAAAAGAAAGCATTAATACTTGAAATGTTTTAAGTCCATAATATCTTAAGAAAGTTTCAAATATTTAACATTATTTCAACATAGTTTTCGCTAGCTGAGAATGGTGGCACGTGCTTGTAATCCCGGCACTCTGCTGGCTGAGACAGGAGGGTCACTGTGTGCTTGAGGCCAGCTTGAGCTACATGGCAAGACCCTGTCTCCAAAAAAAAAAGTTTGCTTCATCCAGCCAACCAACTCTTCATGTAAATTCAAATCTAGTAACAATTTTCAGCCATTAACAATGTTTTTATTTAAATTACTAAATTATGTTTTTATGCAGTCAAAAGCAACTACCTCAATGCAATGAAAATACATTTCCTGTGTAAATTAAATGAAATAATAAATATCATTGTAGGTATGACATCCAACAAATCGTATCATAAATTTTATGTTCCAAATTTGATATGCATGGTGTAAAAATAAAATGTCTTTCTTTTTTTTTGGTACCGGGATCCAACTCACAATGTTGCACAGGCCATGCAGGCACTTGTGTTACTGAGCCAAATCCCCAGCCCCTAAAGACCTTAGAAATCCAAGTTATATTTACTGACGTGTTAGCTAACTGTAGGTAGAAAAAGCAAGGAACCAACACATTCACGGATTCCGTTACCTGTCCTAATAAAGTTTATGGTCCAGTTCAATAACTGAATCAACTCTTGTAATGTGGAAATGTAATTTTTCTGTGCAAAGGGTATTCACGAGTGGCAAAACAGCTGAAGACATCTAGATAAAAAGAGTTTAGATGCCTTCCAAGAGTGTGAGGAACTAAGTGGGCAGACAAATGTCTTCCGAGAATGTGGGGAACTAAGTGGGCAGACAATAAACTACAAGGACCTGGGTGAGGTGGTGCACACTTGTATCCAGCACTTGGGAGGCAGAAGCAAGAGGACAGTCACAAGTTCGAGGGCAGCGTGAGTTACACAGTGAGCTCAAGGCCAGCCTGAACTGCATAGCGAGACCTAACCTCAAAAAACCAAAAAAAAGCCCACCAAACTCTAAACCCTCAGAGTACTGCTAAGAATATGTATCCGTGACAATGTCCGCTGCTCAAGGGGCCACCTCACTGTTTTCTCTGCAGGATATCTGGGTCTTTAACTGTCCAGGCTCCAAAGGCAAATCTGGGCAAAGTGCTAAGTACTGAACCAAGTCACCCCTCCACTCCTATATTCTCACTCTTACCTTAGAGACTAACTTTGCCTTACTGTGTCCCTTATTCTTTTTTTCCCTAAATCAGAATTCAGAACAAGCACAAGCATGGCAACACCACTGAGGAGGCTAAGGTGCCTCCTTAAATTAGCTAGCAGGTACCTAGATCGGAACTATGGAATATTAAGTCAAAAGAAGTATATAGGCACAGGGGCATACTTGTAAGCTCAGCACTCTGGGAAGCTGAAGCATGAGGCCAATGAATTCATCAATTTAAAGATGAATTTAAAAACCAAACATCTTGGTATATGTCGTGGTATATGGTGTCTTCACTGTCAAAGAGTACTATGTTAATTAATATTTATTTATTTGCTTATTTATAGATGGGGTCTTCCTGTGTAATCCAGGCTGGCCTCAGACTTCTAATCACCTGCTCCAGTCTCCCAAGTGTTGGGATTACACATAGGTCATATTTATTAAGTGTTGTGAGAAATCTAATTTGAAATAGGAACTATACGAAAGCAAAACTTTGTTAGCTTCATTACTATTTATGATGATGTTAATTTACTATCTTTTCACTCGGAACTTGAAAGACTTTTGACATATACTGAACTCCCTTAATTTTTCCACAAGTCGGGGTATAAGGGTTCTTGCTTTGCAAATTATGGAACAGCTACTTGCCTGCCCTGACAAACTATGCCCCAGCCAATCACTCAGTTCATTCAAATCTGCTATTAAGTTCTTGGTTTCTTCCTCAACTTTCTCGCTCTGAAAAAGATAGTCAAGGTGGATATGGTGATGCACGTCTGTAATCACAGCACTCTAGGAGGCTGAGATGAGCCCTGCCTGGGCAATTTAGTGATTTTCTGAGACACTCCCACTCCCAAACCTCCCCCACTGCACATTCCTACCCCACCCCCATCTCTAAAAACAAACAAACAAACAAACAAACAACCATCAAGCAAACAGTAAATCTCTGACCAGACCTGACTCTCCCAGCCCCAGCCTACTTCCAGCAGAAGCACTACTGTCTGCAGGGGACTCAGCTCAGCACCTCAGGCTGTCATCCACAAGCACAGGAAAGGAGAAAAGATAGAATGAGGAAGTCTGTAGATCCTGGGGACATCTGGAGACACCCAAAAATCTACATAGATACTTCAAAAGTCTCTGCCCAGTGAGATGCACAATTGCCAGAAAATTTTAATCACAGATTTCATTGGGATTTTCCCACCTAATGTCTCCTGCCTTCTCTTCATCTCTATAAAGGAGACATACTGTTCTCTGCCTGTATCCAGGCACAGTAAATTCCATGCCACATTGCCTTTACACAAGCCTGGTGGTCTCGGCTGGTTACATGTTATACAAACCAACCAACCAGCAAAGGATGTGGGTGATATGGCTTCTGTCTGCATGTCTCCCCAAAACTTCATGCAGTCCTGGGGTGTGGGCTCTTCAGAGGTGGCTGAATCTCGAGTTTGCGATTGATTGCTGGTCCAATGCTGGGGTTAAGGGTGTGGGAGCTGCACATGCCCTAGGGTGGGCAGCCTGCATACAACATAAGGGATGGGAAGAGGTTTGCTCTCCTCTCTTGTTGCTTTTGCTGTCACCACCACCATGCTTCTGCACCATAAACTGTTGCCCTTCTACCATGTGCCACTCTGCCTTGGAGCCAGTTGATTACGTACCGAAACTTCTACAAACTATGAGCTAAATAAACCTTTTCCCCTTTAACTGGGTGTTGGCAACACAAAAAGTAACTAAGACAATAGGAGAGACAACACAATAGCTTTCATGGGGGTTACATTCTCTGTCTGTTTACTTGTAAGATGAGAATACTTCTTCAGCTTGCTGGAGGATTAAATAACTAATGTGGGTTAAAAATTCAAATAAAGTGCTGCTATTACTCTTAATTCACCATTGGGAAACAGAAGTGTGATTGTCCATACAAGAACAAAGCTATTAAGTGCTCCTGATATACCTGGTATTAATGTAGTTGAACTAGTTATTCAGCTTCTCGCAAGCAGAAACAATACTAATAAAGATTGAATGACTGAACACATGTAAACAGAGAGTAATGTGCAGAGTGATCACTGTTGTGTAAATCACCAATCACAAAGTGAAACTGAGCACAGGGTTCGGAAAGTAGGCAAGGTTCAAAACCTGGCTCTGCTGCTTACAAGTGGAATAGCCTTCAGAAAATTTCTTAATGTCACCAAATCTCATCTTCTCATTGTGGTTAGAAAAGATTAATTCTACCACACTTCCAGCACACAGTGGGCATCCTCCATTTTCTGATGGTCCTAATAAGCAACAACAATATTATACATCACTGTTCTCTAGGGACTCTTGGTAGAGGGTCAGAAAAATCAAGTCAGAAGTACCCTTTACTGGACTGGTAGTCAGTGTGAAATCAGTGCTCCCTTCTTGTTCTGTTACATGCTCTAGGTTTCTCCCTCTCCAATTCTCTTGAGGTGACAAACGAAGATAATCCAAGAACTTTTGTACTGACTCAAAGTAACGAGGTGGTAGAGCTAAGGGAAGGTTTTAGACATTCTTCAGAAAAGAATTTTCCTAAATGAAACTACCAAGAAAGGAAGAGCAAGAGCTGTTCAGTGGATCTCCAATGCCGCTGATATATCTGAACTACCACGCACAAAAAGATATTCCTGTTGACTGAGAAGCTGAGTAGGTGTTAAAACTTATGACCTCACAAATGCTAAATAACACACCAAGTAAAAAGTATACGTGTAAACAGTACATCACTTAGAGGCTAAGTATGCTAGTCCACAAGTAGAGCAGGATATCAGACCCAGTCTACCCGGGGACCAGTGTGCACACCTGGGCCTTCAAAAGCATAGCATAGTGTGCTTACCACAGAACAGATGCCCACAGTTTGTCTCCACAGGGAAGGAGGCTTGGTGTAAGCAGATTGGACAGTACATGTCAGTGTAGAACTGCTGTCGGGCCGCTGCAGGTGCATCCTGAGGGGCAGACGTGGATCGTGTTTACACCTTATACACAGGGCTTCCAACAGTCTTTAGTGCTAACTTACATTTAAGAATAATCACATTTAACCCTCATCACATGTTGAATGTGCAGTAGTTTGAGGTCTTGTGACACTGGTAACAAACAGCTTGGTTACAAACTATTATTATGTTCAAACTATTCTTACATTAATGATTTCCATGAGGGTTTTCCAAGTTTGTTTAGTTTAAAACTGAATTACCAATGACTCAAACAATGTTTGGCATATAGCAGATGTTCAAAATATATATAGCGAATAGATAAGTTATAAAAATTTATTGAAAATAAAATCAGTTTTTTTGTTTTTAGAGATAGGGTTTTGTTGAGTAGTTCACAGACTAGAACTCACTATGTAGCTCAGGCTGGCCTCGAATTCACAGCAATCCTCCTGCTTCAGCCTCTCATGTACTAGGATTACAGGGATGCACCAGTATGCCCAGAAGACTGACTTTGGAACTTTTTTTGTTTTTTTGCCACCAGAATGACGGATTGAACTTAGCGGCACTCTATCACTGAGCTATAGCCTCATTCTGCTTTAAACTTTTTGTTTTGAGATAGGATCTCACTAAGTTGCTAAATTGCCCAGGCTGGTGAATTCCAGCCTCTCAAGAGTAATATTCTGCTTATTCTAGCCTTCATAAACTGTGCAATGTTTCTGATTCTTGGAGATTCTATCTGCTTAAAAGGAAAGAAGAGGCAGAGGGGAAAAAAAGTTCTTCTTTGCCTAAATAGTATTGTTTACTACGGACACTGAAGAAAGAGGGGAAGAGTTTAAAAACAATACTTGCCCCTTATGGTCATTTCTTTCACGGTCTTAAGAGTATATATGCTTTTTAAAAAAGATTTTCCACTATATTTCAGATAAGGCCAATGATACTGTTTCTGTAAAAACAAGTAGTAAGAAAACTATGCTTTTAAAAAACAATTTAATAAAAACATGGAAACATTTGAATAGATTAAGATTTGGCAATTTGATTCATTTGAAAATAAATCTGAAGAACAATTTAAGGCCACTTAAAGCACAAAAGAAGCACTGGTTTTTAAAAAATTATTAATGTTTCAACTCAGCTGCAAAAAAAATGTACATGTCATATGACAGTACCTGCTCGGTTTGAAGTTGTTCTCGAAGCACTCTCACTAGCTCTTGGTTTTCTGGATGAATGTTCTGATGTACATTTCTGTTAAGTAGAATATAATAAATGTTTAATGTAAAATACTGTCAGGTTAATCCACTTGTTTTCTAGGTCTAAGTTCACTTTTAGAGTCACTAATAGGTAAATAAACATAACTGATGACATACAGCTGCACTCCAAAGTCCAGGCTGGCACATGGAGGACACCATGGTGAGTTCTTCTCGGATTACTGACCACTGGCTAGTTTCAGATTTAACTGCCAAATGATGAGAACCAGAAGCCTTTTAATTTGGAGATCTACTGTAATCACTAAATACTAAGAACAATGAACACATTTATTTGTTTTGCAAAATTTCTTCAAAATAAGCAGCTCTATCTTTCTACATAGTATTTAAACCTTTCCCAGAGGGATTAGTCTTTCTCTAACTTCTCAGTTTGAGAAGAGGGGGACAAAGCAGAAACTAAAATTATATATGTAAAAAAGCCAAAATTTAATATATCACTAATATCTTAACATTAACTTCAAAATGGAGAGGCAAAGCTAAGAAGCTGGTGATTAATATGAAAGCACGGGTTAGGACAAGCAGTGAAATTCAAGTGGAGGTCAGGCTGGAAGGTGGGGCTGAGTCATATGAAACAGTGAATCAGTGCAGTCTCATTTGACTACAGACTTTTTAACTTTCAGTATCATGAACAACAATATTCTAGAGAGCTTTTACATTCTGGGTTGGCCATGTCGAACCAAAATAATAATGGGACAGAAAATTAAAGAAATGCATCTGATAAATACCCAGTTTTTAGGAATAACTCAAATGTTACAAAGAAAGCTGATAAAATATAAGCATTAGTTCAGTAAGGATACAAAACCAACTTACAGTTGAGTATCTAAACAGAAGTACAATATAAGTGTAATGAAACTATTGAACTGTTTAGACTTGAATTTTGGTTAATTCATTTCAAAATAAGCTATATTCTTATCAATGAACTAATGATCTATGAAAGATACCTATCTATATAGTGAAAGCAGTCAATTAAATTAATTATCTAGCCCAAGAATCATCCCATTTAAATAACAGTGAAGTCTCAGCTAGACAAAATTCTCTATTCTTTGAGAATAGAAAATCATTTCCTTTCCACTGAAAGAAAACAAAAACAAAAACAAAAGCAAAAACCAATGAAGACTGAGTGCTGACATGAACCATGTGCCTGGAAAATCTTTCACTGGGCTTCTTTCCATTTAAAGTAAGGTGAAGACTCCTTAAAGCTACAGCAGAATTAGTAGTAGAGTCATAGAATTTACTATGAATTAGTAGTAGCCAGTGAACAAGAATCTCCCAAACTGCTGAATACAGTCCAACTTGAGTAACTAACGGTCACTGGAAGCTAGCAGTGTAAGTACAGAACCAGAAGTTTAGAAAACAATAGATGATTAACCCAGACTGAAAGCCGAACTAGGAAATCTGGAATCAAACGACAGATCACTTTGGGTAGTATTTGCATCTTTCTTTCAAGCTATGGAAAGTATTCGCATGCCTTGTGTACGTGTGTTTTCTTCAGCAGTGTTTTGTAGCTGTAATAATTTATATTCTATTTGTTCTTCTGTAACAATCATTAGTATGTGTTTGTGGTACACAATTACACTCATCCTGGGGGCAGGGGCACGCACAGGACTCACCTTACTTCTCTCTTCATGCTGCTCTTCCTCTTCCTTACCCTTCCTCTACCTCTTGATTCCCTTCTTTTGCAAAAAGATACATTTCTGTTTCCTATTATCTATCTATACTTTGCTCTTTACTTATGCTTTGGATTTCTTACATAAAAGGAATCATGCAAAATTTAAGCTTGTGTCTGGTTTATTTAACATTTGGTCTCAAGGTATATTAATTTTCCTACACTGGACTCAAATTTACCCTTCTTTATGGCACTGTGGCATTGCCCCACTGTGTAGAGATGGCTTATTTCCTTTATCCATTCATCTGTTGATGGATCTGTAGGCCACTTCCAAGATTTTACTATTATGAATTGTATGAATATGCATGTTTCATATGACTTTTAATTTTTCAGAAAGGTATCTAAGAATGGGGAATAGCTGGGTTGAATAGAATTTCTAGTTTTAGTTTTTTAAAAAGAATCTCCATGCTAATTTCCATAATGGTTGTATTAGTTTGTATTTCCAATAATGTAGAAGGGTTCCTTCTTCTATGCAACCTTGAAAGCATTAGTTATCACTTGATTTTTTGATTACTATTCTTTCAGGAATAAGAAGGAATAAACTGGCTTTTTTTCTAAGAATTAAAGGCTTTTAGAATCAACTGTTTTTAACTTGCATTTCTCTAAACATTTTTCATATATTTACTGGCCATTTGTAGTTCTTCTCCTATGAAGTGTCTATTCATTTAAGTTGCCTATTTTTTGAATGGGTCTTTTATTTTTGGGGGGGGAATTAAGTACTTGTTTATTAAATACTGTAGATATTAGTCCTCTGTCTTAAGTGTAGCTGGCAAAAGTTTTTTCCCCACTGTATAGGTTATCTCTTCACTCCATTGGTTGTTTCCTTTGCTTTCCAGAAGCTTGCTAATTTGATATAATCCCATTTATTGATTCTTGATATCATCTCCAATGCAACTGGAGTTGTTCAGAAAGTTCTGTTCTTTCCTAAAGTATCACTTCTAGCTATCATTTGTTGACATACCAGAAACAAGTCCAAAGAGTCTTGCAAATTTCTGTAACTTGATCTCATCTATTTTTTTCTCCTGTGCTTTGAAGTATCATTTTTTTTTTTTTTTTTTTTTTTTTTTTTGTAGTATCAAAGGTTACTGGCCCCTCTGCTGGGATATATACAACTTAACTGGTTTGGTAATTTTTTTTTTTCCTTCTCAAAGACAAAGGACCATAAATCATTGGCATACAGTAACAACAAATGTATTTGGGTTCTGTATTTGAACCACTGCCTTTAGTGGCATCTTACTATTACCAACTAAGATATGAGAAAATGATAGGACATTATAAACCAGTGGACTAGAACACAAGAGCTCAGAAATCAGTTCTCACATACATGCTTGCTGCTGCCTGAATGTTTGTGTGTCCCCAACCCCAATTCATATGTTTAACTTCTAAATCCCTAATGTCACAATATTTGGAAATGAGACCTTTGGAAAGTAATTAGGCCATAAAAGTGGCACTGTAATGAAGGAATTAGTATGTACAAAGCCTGGGGTTCAACCCCTAGCACCACACATGAAAAGAAACATGGAAGGCATGCTTTCCTGTCTGTGCACTGTGAATAAAAAACCAGCCATCTGCAAACTAGGAAGCAGGCTCTAGACACCAGACATAGATCCACCAACGCTTTGTTACATAGTCTGGATATTCAGTCTCCCACAAACCCATGTGTTAGAGTTTCCCCCAGCCCATGGTGGACCTACTGGGAGAGGGTTTAGTAGTGATCTTTATGTTTTTGGGGTCATGTCCTTAAAGGCAACCTTGGGGCTCCAGTTTTATCCTCTCTGGCTTCCTAGAGACAAGTGGGCACCTTTTGCTCTGCTCCCTGCCACCCTGCCTGGTTAGGCTAACCCAAAGCAATGGGGCCAACTGATGACTTTTTGAGCTTGTGAAAACATAAGCTGATGTAAGCCTTTTCTCTTGGTAAGCTGGTTGTATCAGGTATTCCATTATGATGACAGAAAGCTACACCTTGATCTTGGGACAATAAATGATGCTCAAGTTATTTAGTTGATGGTTATTATATGTGCCCAAACTGTCTGAAACAATTATCAACAGATTTTTGATAAGGGCATCAAGATAGTCAATGGAAGTACTGTACATCAACAAACAGCTAATGAGCATATGAAATAATAATATTATTTATTCGAGAAATGCAATTCAAGATGATAATGAAATACTACTTCACTCCCATGGTAGTTAAGGAGGAGAGGGCAAGAACAAAAGCTGAGCACAGTAGCCCTTGTCTCTAATCCCAGCACATAGAAGGGTAAGGCAGGAGGATCGCTGTGAGTTTGAGGCCAGCCTCGGATACATGGTGAATACAAGACCAGCATGAACTACACAGTAAGGTCTTCTTTCAACAAACAAACAAGGAAGAGTTAAAAGGAGAACTTTTATGTTATGTCTATTTTACCACAACATAAAAATGACAAGATTATGATGACTTAAACCATCAAAGAAACTGGAAAAAAGGGATGAGAGGTCCCTTTATTTAAGCCAAACTACCCACATCCCCCAACCTATTCACCCACTGATTACCTCTGTTGAAATAAGATTATAACTGCCAATTAAGTTTGAGTATGGAGCATTGAATAGAAATTTAAACTGACCTCCTACCTAATCATATGACAGACTTGAAACAATGTCTAAGTAAAGAGGAGTACTTAATTTAATGTGAAATTATTCCTTAGGGTAAGCCAAAGTCACATCTTGTTTTATCCATGATGCCACACAGAGTGAATTTTTTTCTTTTCTTCTAATTTTTTTCTTTTTTTGGACACAGAGTCTTACTGTATTGTCCAAGCTGGTCTCTAATTCCTAGGTTTAAAAGATTCTCCCATCTCAGCTTTCCAAGTGTTGGACTATCGGCATGTGCTACCCAACTGGCATTATTCGTTAACAAAACAAGCCCTTACCACACTTAAACACAAATGGTCCCTTTCCTAAAGCTGGATAGCCTCAGTTATTTCAAAAATTTTATGATTTGTTTCTATAAATTTGTTTCTATCAATTTCCCCTGAATGTTTTCCTGTTTATTTTTTGCAGGATTGAAATTTTGGGGGTTGAATTTAAGGCCTTCACATTAAGCTATATCCAGTCTTTTTTAAAAAATATTTGAGACAAAGACTCACTAAGTTACCAAGTTGCTCTGGTCACTCTGGCTGGGCTTGAACTTACAAGCTTTCCTTCTCAGTCTCACAGAGTGCTGGGATTGTTTTCCAGTTTAAAATGAATTCAATCCCAAATTGAATACAACTCAGATGTGACCATTAGCTAGTTATTTTTATAAACATCCCTATTCTGTTAAATTTCTGACATCTACTACAATGTACAATGGCCTTAATAAATGGAGAAATTTTAGTTTGAACTTTGTATCATCCCAATCTGTAGTGGAAAAAAAAACTAAACATAGTAGAGAAATTAGAAAAATTAATGGCAGAAGTACTTAAAAAATTAATCTGGTAATAATAACAAATTTTGAGTGAGCTAATTTACTTATGGTTTTGTGTTGTGAGTTTTTTAGCTTTTTGCCTCCTTCCTTTTTATTACTTAAAAAAATCATTTATTCTAATTCATACTTTGCACCCTCTGGCCAAAATTCCCTCAGCCATTGACAACCTCTGCTACCTCCGTTTCTCTGAGTTCAACTTTTGTAGCCTCCACACGTAAATGAGAACATAAAGTACTTACTTTTCTGTTCTTAGCTTCTTTCAGTTAGTATAAGGGCCTCCAAGGTTACCCAGATTATTTTCAAACAACAGGAATAAATATGTATTTGGGGGGGGGGTCTTTTTGAGTCTTATGCAGTTCAGGCTGGCCTTGAGCTTACTTTGTAGCCCAGGCTGGTCTCAAACTTGCTATGATCCTCCAGCCTCAGTCTCCTGCCTCAACCTCATGGTGGCCTCCAGAGCCACCATGCTTGGCTCTATTCTTTATAAAGCTGAGTAATTTCTCATAAAACAAAGATCATGCAGTACTGCAGCTTGCATGCCTGATTTATTTTACTTAACATTATGGACTCAAGATGCATCCACTGTCCAGTAAAGGACTCCAATTCATCTTTCTTTATGGCAGAGTAGTGCCCCATTGTGCATAGATACCACACATTCTTTATCCAATCATTGGTTGACTGACATGAAATCTCTTAAAGATTTCGCTATTGTGAGTTGTGCTGCTATAAAAATGATTATCCATGTATCAGTGTAATATAATGTCTAACTTTTGGGGGCTGATACCCAGAAAAATAACTGGATTGAATGGAACTTCTAATTTATTTTATTTTACTTTTTTAGGAAACTCTTTACTGATTGTCATCGAGGCTGTACTAGCTTACATTCCTACCAAAAAATGTAGAAGGGTTCTTTTCACTCCATCTTTCAACAGCATCTGTATTTTATCACTTGATAATCAAGCTGTGTGTGGTGGTACATGCCTGCGATCTCAGCATTTGCGAGGTTGAGACAGGAAGATCACATCAAGTATGAGGTCAAACTGGCTATCAGTGAGTTCAAGGTCAGCCTCACATATACTAGGACCTTGTCTCAAACAACCAAATGATAATAGTAATAATAATTTAATAAATACTGTGCTTAGAAATGCAATTGTTGGTTATATGGTAGCTTCTTATTTATTGTCTTTTTGAGACAAAGTCTCGCTATGCAGTTCTACCTGGCCTTGAGCTCACTTTATGGCCTAGGTTGGTCTCAAACTCACAATGATCCTCCTGCTTCAGCCTCCTGGATGCTGGGATTATGTTTTTAATTTTTTGAGGAACTTTCATATTGTTTTCCGTGGTGACTGTTATTTTTTTCCAGCATTCTTAAAGTTGTAGGTATTATACTTAAATTCTTAATTCATTTTTAACTGAATTGAAGGGTACAACTTCATCATTTTGCCTGTCAATATCGAGTTTTTCCTAAATGCTTTAGTGAAGAGACTGTTTTTTCCCCATTGTTTGTCAACACTTTGCTTATTTATTTGATACAGGGTCTGGTTATGTAGCCCAGGCTGGCCTCAAACTCACAGTGATACTCTCTGCTTAAGCCTCCTAAGTGCTAGAATCACAGGCATATGATACACACCTACCAAATCATTATGTTTGACCATAAATGTATAGATTTATTTGTGGGCACTCTATTCTGTTTTTTGGGTCTATAATGCTGTTTTGATTACTTTAGCATTACAGATTTTGAGATCAGGTAGTGTGATGACTCCAGCTTTTTTTTTCTTTTTTTTCAATGTTGCTCTTTTAAGAAGAAGATTGCCCCTGACTGATGTGTTCTGAAATTCTGTTTTAGTTTTTTTTCTTTTTTTTCTTGAAAATGGATTGGGGGGTGGGGTGGGGAAGAACATGTGCACAGATTTCAGGCTTGTTTTTCTAGTGCTGCAGAAGCAAGTAACACTGGGGGTTTGACAGAGATTACACTGACTCTACAAATCACTTTGGGTTTTATGAACATTCTAACAGTATTAACTCTTCCCATACATAAACACAGTATATCATCACATACATTTGTGAACTCAACTTTTTTTCATTAATGTTTTATAAAAATCTTCAATGGCTGGGTGTAGCGAGGCACATCTGTAATTCCTGAACTCTTCTGGGAGGCTGAGGCAAGAGGATCCCAAGTTTGAGCCCAGCCTGGGCAACTTAGAAAGCCTTTTCTCATAAAATAAAGCAAGGGCTGGGGATCTAGCTCAGTGCAAAGGCAGTGGGTCCAACCTGTAGTACTGCCAATCTTCATCCCCCAAACAAATTTTCAATATACAAATCATATCTTTTTGGTCAAACTCAACTTCTTTTAAAAAGTTTGCAAATTTGACTTTTATTTTTTTGGATAGTTCATTGTTAATATACAGAAACGTTACTGAGTTTTGCATATTCATTTTATATCCTGCAACTCTGCTGAATTAATTTATTAGTTCTAACATTTTTTGGTGTAATCTTTATAAGACCATAGCATTCATGAACTGATAATTTTACTTCTTACTTCTTGGATGCTTTTTTTATTGTTGCAGACTTCCTCTGCTTATAACATCTAGCATACTGAATAAAAAGTGGCAAAAGTGGGCATCTTTGTCTTCTTACTGATCTTAGAAGGCTTTGTTTTTCACTCTTGACACGATATTAGCTGTGGTTCTGTCAAATATGTCCTCTACTGTGCTCCTTGTATATCTAATTTGTTGTATTTTTATCATGAAAGGATGTTAAATTATGTCAAATACTTTTTCTACATTTCTTGAAACTGATCATAGACTTTTTTCCTTCATTCTGTTCTATAGTGTATTATATTCATTGGTTTATGTATGCCAACCCATCCTCTCTTGCCAGAGGTAAACTCCATCTGGTCATAATGTATGATCCTTGTTCATGCTATTGTTGGATTGTTTTTTGCTAGTATTTGCTGATAATTTTTGCATTTATGTTACTCAGTGTTATTCGCTTGTAACTTTCTTTTACTGTCCTGAATTTATCAGGCCTTGGTAGCATGGTAATGAGAAAGACATGACATGCTCCTTCTTCAAGATTTTGGGAAAGTTTGAATGGGTTGCTTTCACTTGGCTATGAATACTACTACTATTAACATAGAACTACAAGCATCTTTTCCAATTTCTGCTTTCAATTATTTGGAACACATGAGTACTACTATTGTTAAGTTAAAACTACGAATACCTTTTCCAACTTCTATGTTCAGTCATTTGGGACAGTGGAATAGCCAAACTATATGGTTATTCAACCTTTCATTTTTTGAGGAACTGCCATAATGTTTTCTGTAACAATGGCATCTTACATTCCCACCAACAGTGAACAAGGGTTTTTTTTTGTACCGGGGATGGAACTCATGACCATGCACTTGCAAGGCTGGCGCTTATACTGCTGCACTAAAACCCTGGCCTCGAACAAGGGTTTTAATTTCTCCATATCTTTACCAATCCTAGTTATTTTGTCTAGTTCTGATAGTAGCCGTCTTATCATTGTGGGTGTGAGGTAGCATCTCACTGTGGTTTTGATTTTTGTATTTCCTTAATTAGCAATGGTTAACATATTTTCATGTGCTTATTGGCCATTTGTATGTTTTATTTGGAGAAATGTCATCTCAACTTGGTTGCTCATTTAAATTAGTTGGGTTCCCTTTTGGTAGTACTGGGCATGAATCTATCTAGGGTTACCCTCTTTTTTAAAAAAATTTTTTTTGTCTTTTTTTTTCTTTTTATGAGTACCGGGAATTCTTTCCCTGCTGCATTTTCTTGGCACCTCGCTCAAAGATCAGGTGACTGGAGTGTGGGTCGGCAATTTCTGGATCCTGATTCTGTTGTCTGAGCACATTAGCTGTCCTCCCAACTGACAGTAAGACTGCTCCTTTGTCTTACTCACCTCATCTATCAGACCTGAACAGAGCAGGCCTGAAGGCAGTCTCATCAGGTGATACGCAGAATACTTTTATTTGGTTTCTGTTAAAACATCAGCCAGTCTCCCTGTATTAGTTATGAATTCACTTAAACCTACTATTATTTAGTCATTCTCCACAAAGAATCACTCTAGAAAAAGCCCTACTGATGTCAAGACGTTATTCAAGAGACTATCAATACAAAGGTAAACGAATAACTTCTGCTTAACCATCTTTTCTGCAGTTTTTACAAGAAAAACACTGATTTGTAATTCTGAAGATTAAAAATCTACTATTCTAAATATTGGCATATAGACTACATATCGGTATATAGACATATGAAGCCTTTAAATACTATTTTGATTCTGTAATAATTAATTAAAGTTACTTCTAATCTTATTTTTCCTCTACAATATCAAAGACATTTTTTTCTTTTTGGTCAGTTTTTCCATTTAAAAACTGAAAATATTTTGCAATTATCTATGTTACCTACTAATGATACTATTTTTCAATTATTTAAAAAAATGACATTCTCATAGAAAATATTAACACTTTAATGCAAATGTGGATGATTAGCTTATCTGGTTAACACAAGAAAAATGTGTTGGCATTTAGAGTCCAATGGAGAATAAAGCACTTTAGGAAATACATACACTTACTAAAATTAGTTACTTTTCCTATTACATATTACTGCTTGGCCTTTGGAAATGTAATTTCGATGGAAACAAAGTACTTTAGTAAATATATGTGCTTGCTGAAATTATTTTTCTTAGTATATGATATTACTACAAGTCAAAAATTCATTGACCCTTAGAAATAAATAATATTTCAATTTATTTGTCCTATAGTCTCACCTGAAAAGTGCATATACCAGGGAAGCAATCAAAGTGAAACTGACCACAACTGCCACAAGAACTTGGTCACTTACTCCTTCTATAACTGAATCATCATCCAGTTTCAAACTCTGAACTTCACCTTGATATTTGGCCATTCCAGGTCTAAAATAAAAAAATAACAAGAAAAAAGTTACTTTCAACAAATTGAAAATTAATAAAAGCAATGTACGTATAGCTGTCTTCTAATATATTAATATTTGTAGCATTCTCTTCATATAGCCTACCTTAAATAAATGCCAGTGAAGATTTTCCCATTAAGGAGTTTTTTAAAGTGTGCCAGAAATACTTTCTGGAGGAATATAAAATATTTCCTTTAAGGAAAGTGGCTATTAGAATGGCATACTTGGAGGTAGATTTTACTTTATGTTAACAGGCACTGCTCGAGATCATTCTCAAAATATGAGGTCCTGATCTCTGATGGTCTAGTGCTTACAAGGAATAAACAAGCAGGAAGCACAGAAGCAGAATGGCTTGTCAATTGGGGATTGGATTATACAATGTGCATCATAATGACCAGCTATGCATCACAGTGACCATTCGTTCCTAGGCAACAGCAGCAGCTGGATCTGGAACAGGAATTATTACCTGGGCAACTAACAAATGTATTGGCTGGAGGGTGGTGCATTTGCTGCTACATTTCCCTGCTCTTTTAGTTTCCCTGGCAAATCTTTGCTGAGTGTATTACATGTGATCTTCTGAGACAAGGCCCAATTAGAATTGGGCCTGTGTTCTGTAGCATACCCAGGCAAGGTAATGAAGGAGTTAATCTGAGCTAGGAGGGTGTCTATTGCACTTGGATGCTCACCAAAACTTGGTAAAGTGTTTGTTCTATTTTCTTGGGGCAACCACTCATATAATTTAAGGCAAAAAAGACAGCAGAAAACAGGGAAGCAAAGACTGGGTAAGCAGAATACAAGTAAACTAACAAAAACCATAGCTAGCAGGGAAGCCATTTTTTAGAAGTTTATTCAAGTGTAGCTCATGGCACCTGAGTAGTTAGATCTTGGTCTAAGGAGAGACTGCCCTTAGTAAACAAATCCAAGTATTTGCACAGGTAGGCCATTGGGCATTCCCAGAGGCTGACAGTCTGAGTAAGCTCCAGTGGATAACTTCAGTAACTTTCAGACATGTTCATTGGCTTCTTGCCTCCCTTTTGAGGTCTGCCAGGAGAGCAATACAGTACTGATCTAAAGCTTCATGGCCCTCTGTTGCATTTCAGTCCTAGTTTGGATGCACTCAGGGGAGAACCGTGTTCCCCCAAACCTCAGGATCCACCACAGGGGCACAGACTTTTGCCTTGAACCAGTTTTGGGCCCTATCTAAAACGCAGTGGTGTTCTTCAGTATTAGTGTCGAAGGAGCTGCTGACAGTAGGTACAGAGTTGAGAAGGGAGAGTTTTTAACCCTTTATGGCAACTGAGTCCAAGTGAGCCTGGCCTTTATCTCAGGATTTTCCCAGTTGAAGGAGCTTATGAGAACAATCTGCAAGCAGAGGAAGTCATTTTTTGTGTTGCTGACAGCACAGAGATCTTATCCAAGGTGATTAACAGTCTATCTGGCTGATCTGTGGCTCGATGTGTTTGTAATTTGTTACATCAGACAGCAATGGGTCAAAATGAGTTAGCATGACTGATGGCCAGGCCCAAAGGTGTGTCTTTAGCTTATTCCTTTGGGAAGAGAGGTTTTGAAATGTAAAGGTTGCAGTTATCTGTCTCAGGTTGATATAAACATCTTTTTTGGGGGGAACAAACATGAAAGTTTAGTGTTAAACAAGAGCAAGGCTAACTGGTTTGGTGTGAAGGAGATGTCCTCCCAGGCTGTAAGTTTGTGCCTGACAGAAGGGGAAGCGGCAAGAGTCCTAATTGCCTGGTGATGGTAACTTTTTGACAGAAGGACTTTTAAAGGCAGAGTTTTGTTCTGTTGTCTCCCAGGAAAGTCACAGGGTTTGCCCCCATCTTTTACAATGACCACAGGCTCTGGGGGGCCAATTTGTCCTACCTATTGGGTCTGACAGTGCATAACTCATGTCAGGGCTAACAGTATTTTTCAGTCAAAATGAGGAACTCAGAAGAAACTGCTGACAGTCATCTCGGGTGGGCATTAAATGAGGCCATCTGATCAGGATATGCAGGTTAGGGGGGCTTTGTGGCTGAATGCAGGCAATGAACAGGAACTGGTTCAACTGGCTGGGGATAGATGAGCTGGGACCAGGGAGTGAGGCCACATGGACAACAACTGCAGCAGCCCACAAGGGTGCCAAGGCAGAATTCTTAGGATGAATGGATTTCTTTTCCTTTTTTTCTTGAGATGCAGGGCACAGTTTGGTTTCATTTTTAACTCTGTAAAAGCCCCATTTCCTGAGGGCTTTAATTAGTTCCCATTTTATTTCCCTATAGTGTATGTTGTGCACCCTTGAATGATAGAACAACAGATAAACGGGGGGGGGGGGGTTCCTCCTCCAGGGAGACCATTCAGATGCTCACTTGGCCATGCACCTTGTGGGGATTTCGGTGCCAGTTAGCTCAAGTGAGGCCTTTGTTATGCCCATAGGTTGATCACCATGGAGCTGCAAGTGAGGGCCTAATCAGCTAACACAATCAGTGCTTCCCAGTCTTGGTGCACAGATGGAGCAGCCTCTTACTTTTGCTGCCTGGGCCATGCACATATTCATTCAGCAGGCACTCTGAGGTTAAATATTCCAACCCTTTTTCCCCATGAGAGTGGCCTTAAAAGATGATCAAGCTCTTCTATTTGAACTGAGCAGGACTGAATGACTGATTAACTGGGGTGCCTCTCAGGACCTTACCAGAATCAGGTAGGCAGACAGACAGATTGTATCCTACTCCCTTTGGGATCCAATGTGAGCTGCTCAAGCGGGGAGCCAGGAATCCTCCTCCAGATCTCTAAGTGGACCTGAGAAATCTTGAGAGTGCACGTTCTCATCAGGGGAGCCAGGAATCCTCCTCCAGATCTCTAAGTGGACCTGAGAAATCTTGAGAGTGCATGTTCTCATCAGGGCTTGGAGAGGTCCCTGCTCTGTCCGTGACCAGTGACCAAAGAGGTCAGCACAGTCAGTCTTCCCAGCTGACACATCAGATACAATGGCAAGCAGAAACACCAAAATACTACCCAGGATTCGGGGACAATTTATGTCGACAAGGCATTGATCAGGCCCTGATCTCTGGTGGTCGAGGGCTTATATAGGATAAACAAGCAGGAAGCACAGAAGCAGAATGGCTTGTCAGTCAAGGACTGGGTTATACAGTGTGCGTCACAGTGACCAGCTATGGATCACAGTGACCAGCAGTTTCTAAGAGAGGGAGGAGCAACTAGAACTGGAACAGAACTATTGTTACTGAAGTTTACTGGCTGGTATAGAGATGGGGATTTCTGTTACACTATAACTTACCATTTATTTATAGTTTTTAGGACAAATTTTTTTTGAATACTCTTTTCTCTTCAGGCTTCGCTTCTTTAAGGAAAAATACCTTCTTGTTCAAGTGCTCCATTCTAAATCCTGGCTATCAAATAAATTCTCCACTAGATCAGATTCTTCTTTTCCCTCATAGCACTAAATAAACATGTCTTTTGGAATTTACCACACATGGATGGGGGAAAGAAATGTATTGTAGTTTTCTATAAATATCCAGTGAAACAATTATATGAGTCTATAATATTTAATAAACATGATTTATCAAAATTAAGAGTTACTAATTTGAAAGATAAAAAACATTAAGGATATTAGCCCACTTACACTGACATTAAGACTATCTGAATTAATGAAACTTTTGGTATTTGAAAAATAATTAGCCTCACTTAAAAACTAAGCTGAGCTTATGGTTCAAAAACTTATGAACAGCTTGAAATATGGAACTACTGAAAGGCCATATTTCCTAGGAAGAGGTGGAGAAGAATAAGAAATTTTCCTTCCCATATTCATATTAAAAAAGGTAGGACTCAATTCTGTAGTTGTGAGAAGAGAAAGCTTCAACACACTGGAGTCCAAATATCATAGATAATTGATCTTTTTGGTCAGATTAGAAAGCCACAAACTTCAAAGTCTTAAGCTACCTAAAGGAAAATAAAGATAATATTAAATATATGTGATATTAAAGGTCTGCATTTATGTCACTTATTGCACTTAAAGTTTTACTCAGTATCATCATTACATAGATAAATCTTTGTTCTGAGGAAATTTTGTGTGACAGTTTAACGTTTTTGTAATCTCAAATGGCTCCTAGTAAGAAAACTACCTCCCTAGAAGAAATCTCATCAAATAAACAGATGAAAGGCAGGTTCATCAGCTTTACACACAGTAATAGCCTGTTACATACATCAGGAACTTTTTCTTGAAATACTGATGCTTCTGTATTACTTGATTTCAGAAATGATAACTCCAGATCTAATTTTCTGATAGGTTTTGCTTTGTTGTTTTGTTTTTGAGACATGTCTGTAGTACAGGCTAGCCTCAAACTCACAACAGTCCTCCTGCCTCGCTCATGAGTGAGTGCTGAGATTACAGGCATGCACTAGTTCCCCTGGCATGTTCCCCTTCTAATGACAGGTTTCAAGTGCTCATTATGAAGGTATGAAGCAGAAGAGTAGGGTGTGGCAAACTCGATGGGAAATGCAGGTAATCTGTTGATCACAGTTCTAGGACATAAAGGCAGAACACTTCTCAAAGCCCTAAACCTGGGACAAATGGGAGATCGGTATCTTCAATTCTTGTGAGAAACAAACCAGTTTTGATAGGAGAATCTAGACCTCAGATGGGGGAGAAAAGAAGGCTGCTACTGCATCTTCACAGTGGACTGCTCTCATTCTGCAGAGTGTACTGCACAGAGCATATTTCCTACCATTAACAAATGTAAAACCTCACTACCTTTTAAATTGTCTTTTTTCTTTTGACAGGGTCTCATTATATATAGTTCAGGCTGGCCTTGAAGTCACTATGGAGCTCAGGCTGTCCCTGAACCTGCTGCAATCGTCCAGCCTCAGCCTCAGGTTCCCAAGTACAGATGTGCACCACCACACTCAGCTTTGTTTTGTACAGAATAGAAAGAACCTGTAAACCATCTTTAGGAAGAGACCCTCGAGCCTCCA